TGGGAGTGGAAGTCCAAGATGGCTAGGGAATTCTGGGAGTGGAAGTCCAAGATGGCTAGGGAATTCTGGGAGTGGAAGTCCATCCAAGATGGCTAAGGAATTCTGGGAGTGGAAGTCCAAGATGGCTAGGGAACTGTGGGAGTGGAAGTCCATCCAAGATGGCTAGGAAATTCTGGGAGTGGAAGTCCATCCAGGATGGCTAGGGAATTCTGGGAGTGAAAGTCCACCCAGGATGGCTTGGGAACTCTGGGAGTGGAAGTCAATCTAAGATGGCTAGGGAATTCTGGGAGTGGAAGTCCATCTAAGATGGCTAGGGAATTCTGGGAGTGGAAGTCCATCCAAGATGGCTAGGAAATTCTGGAAGTCCAAGATGGCTAGGGAACTCTGGGAGCTGTAGTCCACCCATGCTGGCTAGAGAACTCTGACAGTTGTAGTCCACCCATCTCAAAATGGCCGCCTTTGAGAAACACCGCTTTAGGATATAAATCTTCTAAATGCCGATTCGACTCGCTGGTTTTTGCCTAATGAAGACAAGAAGCCGGGTAATCTCCACTTAGCGCCACAGAAACTCCTGTGGGGAAGCCAGGCAGCTAATCCACCTCTAACAAGCCTTCAGTCACCGCAGCCAATTTTGGCAACAACGCACAACAGCAAAGAGAGAAGGCGGAAGCGGCCCCTCCTTTGAGAAAACAACGAGACAGTTGTGCAGCCTGCACCACAACTCAGCCCAAAGTTTCTTTCCGTTGCTAAGCGAAACAGTTGTGAGGGTGACTTTTGCCCCATTTCACGACTTTTCTTGCCAAAGTTGTTAAGTGAACCCCTGCGGTTGTTAAGTGAGGACAGGGGTAGGAAAACCTTGGCTCTTTGATGACTCGTGGACTTCAACTCCCAGAATTCCTGAGTCAGCATGGGGGAACTATGGCTTCCTTGACTCGTGGACTTCAACTCCCAGAATTCCTCAGCCAGCATGGGGGAACTATGGCCCCCTTTAGGACTCGTGGACTTCAACTCCCAGAATTCCTCAGCCAGCCAAGCTGGCTCAGGAATTCTGGGAGTTGAAGTTCACGAGTCATAAAAGAGCCAAGGTTGCCTACCCCTGAGTTAGGAACAAAGGTGAACCCAGCGTCCCCCATTGACTTTGCTTGTCAGAAGGCCACCAAAGGGGAATCACGTGATCCCGGGACACCGCAACCGTCATAAGTACATGCCAGTTGCCAAGCGTTCGAATTTTGATCACGGGGAGGTGCTGCGACGGTCGTTAAGTGTGAAAAACAGCCCCAACTCACTTTTTTTTCCTGTGCCGTTGTAACTTCAAACGGACACTAAATGAAGGTCATACGTCAAGGACTCCCTGTACATCTTTGTCTGTGCCAGACCTTCACACACACACACACACAAACACACACACACACAGACATATTACAGGTAGTCCTCGACTTACGACCACAATTGAGCCCAAAGTGGCTGTTCAGTAAAACATTGGTCAAGTGAGTTTTGCTCCGTTTTACGACCTACCTTGCCACCGTTGTTAAGTGAGTCCCTGCAGTAGTTGAGGAACACGGTTGTGAAGGGAATCCGGCTTCCCCCATTGACTTTAATAATAATAACAATAATAATAAAAGTTGTAAGGGACCTTGGGGGTCATCTAGTCCAACCCCCTGCTCGGGCAGGAAACCCTATACCATTTCAGACAAATGGCGGTCCAATCTCTTCTTGTCAGACGGTCGCAGAAGGAATCACGTGAACCCGGGGAACACGGCAACCGTCACAAGTACACGCCAGTTGCCAAGCGTTTGAATTTTGATCACCTCAGCCTGGGGCCGCTGCGACGGTCGTAAGAGTGAGAAACGGTCCTAAGTCACGTTCTTTGTTGCCGTTGTAACTCTGAACGGTCACTAAACAAACTGTGGTTAAGTCAAGAGCTGCCTGTATACCTCCCCTTTCAAATCAGAGCGCAAAATGGCCAAGGGAGCGGTCCCTCCTCCATTTTGCCTCAACCACACACACCCCTGCGAGGTAGGCAGGGAATATTATCCTGTTGGTTTCATCACCATGATCCCAATTTGTAAATAATAATAATAATAATAATAATAATAATAATAATAATAATAATAATAAAGTTGGAAGGGACCTTGGAGGTCACCTAGTCCAACCCCCTGCTCAGGGAGGAAACCCTGTAGTACCATTTCGGACAAATGGCTGTCCAGTCTCTTCTTAAAAACTTCCAGTGTTGGAGAAGGGAGGGAGGAAGGGAGGAAGGAAGAATAACAGATGGAAGGGACCTTGGAGGTCATCTAGTCCAACCCCCTGCTCAGGCAGGAAACCCTGTAGTACCATTTCAGACAAATGACTGTCCAGTCTCTTCTTAAAAACTTAGTGTTAGAGAAGGAAGGAAGGAAGGATAACAGAATAACAGACTCGGGAGGGACCTTGGAGGTCCTCTAGTCCAACCCCCTGCTCAGGCAGGAAACCCTATACCATTTCAAACAAATGGCTGTCCAGTCTCTTCTTAAAAACTTCCAGTGTTGGAGAAGGGAGGGAGGGAAGGACGGAAGGAAGGAAAAAAAGAATAACAGACTCAGAAGGGACCTTGGAGATCATCTAGTCCAACCCCCTGCTCAGACAGGAAACCATTTCAGACCAAGGGCTGTCCAGTCTCTTCTTCAAAACTTGTTTCTGTTCTCCACCCCACCGTCTCGGTTCTCTTCCCTTTCTTGGGCACCCAGAGCCCGTTCTCAGCTCCAGGGTGGACCGAGATCTTGCCGTGAGCTGGCCAAAGGGGAAACCGAGTCAGCGGGGGTGATTTATTGGCCAACCGATGATGCTCCGGCACAAGTCAGGCTTCCTTCAGCCGGGGAAGGGCTGTGAACCGTGCCTGACTCATCGGAGGAAGGCCCGTTCACCAGGGTTAACAGGTTGGGAGATGCGGCACATTGCGTGTTCAACGGGGGGGGGGTGTGTGACGTCACGGGTGGAGGGTGGGGTGAGCCGGTTCGGATTGGGGTGCCCTGAGCCACGCAACGCTGAAAATTGGGGAGGGGGGGGCAGGCCCTGGCATCATGGTTGCAGCCAAGGGGCTGCAGGGCAGACCAGGGGTTAAAAATCGGGGTATGGCCAGGAGGGGGGGGGGGTTCAGCAACTTGGAGATGGGTGGACTCCAACTCCCAGAATTCCCCAGCCAGCATGGGTGGATTTCAACGGCCCAGAATTGTCGGGTTCCGAATTTAGCTTTTATTTCTCTCGGTTTTTCTGGGAATCGCGAGAATGCGTTATTTTTGTAGTGTCTTTCCGAAAGGGGTTTATTTGTTCCTGATCTGTTGAATTGAATTGGATCAGATGCTGGGAGAATGGATCCTTCCTTCCTTCCTTCCTTCCTTCCTTCCTTCCTTCCTTCCTCTCATTCCCATCTCCTTCCTTCTTCTCCCTCTCTTCTTTCCCATCTTCCTTCCTTCCTTCTTCCCTCCCTCCCTCCCTCTCATTCCCATCTCCTCCTTCCTTCCTTCTTCTCCCTCCCTTCTTTCCCATCTTCCTTCCTTCCTTTCTTCTCTTTCCCCTTCCTTCCTTCCTTCCTCTGTCTCCTTCCTTCCTCTGTCTCCTTCCTTCCTTCCTCCATTTCTTCCTCCCCTCTTCCTCCCCTTGCCTCCTTCCTTCCCTCCCTTCCTCCCTCCCTCCTTCCTTTCTTCTTCCCTCCCTCCCTCCCTCCCTTCCTTCCATTTCCAACTCCTTCCTTCCTTCTTCTCCCTCTCTTCTTTCCCATCTTCCTTCCTTCTTCCCTCCCTCCCTCCCTTCCTTCCTCTCATTCCCATCTCCTCCTTCCTTCCTTCTTCTCCCTCCCTTCTTTCCCATCTTCCTTCCTTCCTTTCTTCTCCTTCTCCTTCCCCTTCCTTCCTTCCTCTCTCTCCTTCCTTCCTCCATTTTTTCCTTCCCTCTTCCTCCCCTTGCCTCCTTCCCTCCCTCCCTCCTTCCT